AGAAGGAGGAGGAGGAGGAGGAGGAGGAGGAGGAGGAGGAAATTTTCATTTGCCAAGGGTTGTATTTCCTTGATGGAAGATTCAAGACACCATTATTTGAAAAACATGACAGAATATTTAGCAGTATTCTATATTTTGGAAAGCAGTCATATTTAGTTCTCTCAATGTTCCTGTTTTTTTTAACTAGAATATGTACCAGAAAGGCCTTAAGAGTTGTTTTTAAAAAAAAAAATCACAAGAACTACCTCATGTTACAGATTAGACCTTGTACTTTTTCATCTGAGATTTAAATTACAGTACTGAACCCACAGCACAATTGTTATAGTTGAAAATTCAGAATCAAATTATCAAATGACAAAGATAAAAAGTTTCAAACTCCAAGCAGCATGCTAAAAATTACGGATGATGATAATCTTAAACAAAATAAAAACAGGCAATGACTACAATTTGAGATAGCAGCTGACTCTCTTTTTTTGTCAGGTCCTACCTCAAATTGTAGCCCATTGTTTGTTTTCATTTTACTTTCCTCTTTAAATAAAACTATAGATGAGTGGTTTATTGCTTATCAGCAGGGGAGGCTGACAACCACAAGTACCTCTAAATTAGCCTTCTCTTCTGGTTAGCAGTATGGTAATGTATACCTACATTGCCCCTTCCCAGAAGAAAGTATTTTTCTTCCTTTAAACTAAATGTTCTCCTGTAACATCACCGGGTATCTTGAGCCAATTGTTAAGGGAACCTGAATTGGTAAGTGTTTTGAAGCACGCTGCCAAGTTGCCAGGACACAGCTACACTTCTGTCACTCAATAAAACTGTTACACAACATGAAACATGAGAAAAAATAAGTCTTATTGTACATTATGAAAGAGGAGTGCAGGCTTTCATTAGTAGATCAAACAACCAAAGCTTAATAAGCTCTGGGCAAGAAAATATGAAAGAGAGTCAGTCCTGACATCTTTAGGATTACATGTCTAGGATTTTATTAATTTAGCAGGGTTTTTTTTGGTGAGAGACAAAGAGTCCTAGATCAATCAATTTCTTCTTAGTAGACTCTGTGTGTATGTGGGTCTTTGTGCACTCACACATTTTCCATATAAACAAACCCTGAAAAAAAAACCAATAATTGCTGTGAAGAATATCAAAAGCCACTTCTTTGTGTCTATTCTTTCTTTTCTATTTTTCTCAACTTTTTGTTCTTTTCTTGCTTTCTCTTTTTTTCTTTCTTATTTTAAATTGGTTAGTTTGGTTTTTAATCTTCTCTTTTAAATACACACACATTACACATACGCTAAGCCAATAATTACAACCCAAGGCAACCTATTTGATTTTTACTGAACTCTTTTCGGAGAAGGTTGGTTTATAGAAAATAATTGTCCATCCAGAAAGGTTTGCCTAGATCAGGTTTCTACAAACTGAAAATTCAGGTGAGCCATTTAAGAATTAGTGTCCATGAAACACCTATTTCAGTGAAGTGCTAGAGAATGTGGTCAACTCAAGCTCAACCCATAGATTATTCTAACCCTTGGTGAGCCAAGATTATTTAAAAAAAAAGAAGAAGCAATATATGTCTATGGAGATTCTCGGTCCTCCAGGTCACAAAGGTGCTTTTTTTCCAAGAGGCAACAGGACTTTCTTCTTTTTCTTTGAAGGCATTTCACTTCTCATCCAAGAAGCTTCTTCAGCTCTGACTGGATAGTGGGGAATGGAAGGACAGAAGGTGGGGATACAACATCATCTTATCTCCAGTCTATGACACAGTTCTTTCAACAGTTCCAAGAAGGCTGCACACACCTTTGCACCACTCAGGTGACCCTGACAACACAGATCACAGGTGTCAAACTCGCTGGGTCACAGTGCCGTCACATGACGCAGCGTGACAGTTTTTTCCTTTGCAGAGCTGGGGTGGGCGTGGCCTACGCATGATCCATCCGGCCCGCAGGCTGCCAGTTTAACACTCCTGACATAGATAAACCTCTGGGTGGCCTTAATGACTCGCTAAAAGAATGCAAATGACCAGCTGACTGCAAGGACTATAAATCCTTCTATTCCCCACAATCCAGTCAGAGCTGAAGAAGCTTCTTGGATGAGAAGCAAAACGCCTTAAAAAAAAAACAAGAAAGTCCAGTTGCCCCTTGAAAAAAAGCACCTTTGGGACAAGACGCAATATATGAACAGCTTTATATGAAACCACCACATAAGGCTAAAGAAATTATTATGGCAGCCTACCACAATGAATGTTTTGATCTATCTTGGCTGCAGAGAATGGGAGTTCGCAGAACAAAATATCTCAAATTGGGAAAAGTTTTACTACCCTGTTTCCCTGAAAATAAGACCTCCCCGGATAATAAGCCTAATCAGGCTTTTGAATGCATGCGCTAAAATAAGCCCTCCCCTGAAAATAAGACCAAAAATATTGCAACACAGCAGCAGCCATGAGGTGACCACGCTCGCTGCCTCCTGCACCTCAAAAATAATAAGACCTCCCCTAAAATAAGGCCAAGTGCTAATTTTGGGGGTCAAAAGAAAATAAGACGTTGTCTTATTTTCAGGGAAACATGGTATTTACCTGCTTTTTAAAAAAAAACACATCTTGGAAGATTTCAGAAGTGGTAGCTTGTGGAGAACCAATGTAACAAAGACCATGATTTCAAAACTCATGCTTGAGTATTGCACCATAGAAGAATTAAATGTAGGAATATTACCTAGGCATATACAGGATGCGTTCTGCCACAACAAATCCCACCCTGAAGAAGAGGTTGCTAGCAGGTATGAAGGGGAAAATCAGGAACAACAGGCCAACTAGAACTTCTCTGTGTTCCAGTTTCTGTAACAAAATAATAATTAAAGATACACAGGTGAAAAAGAATGCCGAAACTAGGCAAGGCAAGATCACAGATCCAGTTCTGAGATTACAGTAGTCGCGAGTTATTCATACGCAAAAATCTGAACAAACCCCTAGATTCAGAAAAAGATTGTCTGAATCTAGGGGGGTGGCTCAATTTTTGCATCAGCTCAAATACAGGCAGTCCTTGACTTATGACCAGAACTGAGATCAGAATTTCCATTGCTAAGCAAAGCCAATGGTAATTGTTAAATAACTCCCTCCCAATCTTTTTTTAAAAGGTTGTTACACAATGTTAGTAAATATTGTGGTTAAATCCAGCCTCCCTTATTGTCTTTGCTTGTCAGAAACCAGCTGAGAAGGTCTCAAATGGCAATCAAATTCCCCTTTCTGGACATGGCAACTGAGGTAAATACATGCAGGTTGCCAAGTGCCCACATTTTCATCACCTGAACGTGAGGATGCTTCAACAGTCGTAAGTGTGAAAACTGGTCATAAGTCACTTTTTTTCAGTGCTGTTGTAACTTCGAAGGGCTACTAAATAAATGGTTGCAAGTCAAGGACTACCTTATGCCTTAGATATATAGAAATTCATTTCTTGTAATTACCTGTTTAAAAATAACAATTTAAATGGAAACTAATCAAGGAGAAAAGGAATTGAGGAGAAATTTCCTAACAGTGAGAACAATTAAGGAGTGAAACAGCTTGCCTTCAGAAGTTGTGGGTGCTGTATCACTGGAGGTTTTTAAGAAGACACCAGACAGTCACTGTCCAGTCTGAAATTATATAGGAACTTCTGCCTGAGCAGGTGGATGGACTAGAAGACCTCCAAGGTCTCTTCCAGCTCAATTCTGATTCTAAAATATAGTTTTATTTGGTTTGTTTTATGTAGTATTCAGTAATCAGCACTCAGATCAGCTTAGATTAACTCAAAGTTTAACTTCATACCAACTATTAAGTAAGCAATACCCCAGTCAAGAAACAGCCAAAGAGCCATCAGTAAACAGCCCAACCAAATAATCTCTAACATCACCCACACAGACAGGCAAGACACCAGAATATAAACAGACTACAAACAGCACTCCTTACGAGCACTGATGATGTTACTTAGTTAGGTAATGAAACATCTGCAAGAAAACAAGCAAACTCAAAGAGCACCAAGGACCCCTCATTTCAACCCTGAGCTACAAATATTCTCCCTTATTGGCTGTATTTGGTTTTTAAAACAGGAATTCTGAGATTTGAAGCACACAAGTAGACAGATTAACTACATACTTTTTATTTTGTGTTTACAAGCATTGCTGCACTTGGTGAAGGACAAAGCTAATTTTGGATGGAACTAGATATCTGTCTTCCTACTCTTTTTAATGTTTGACACTTAAATCTGCATCACATCATCCAACTGCAATTTTTAATAGGTATCTCGCTCTTGCTTTGAGTCTAGATCCCAAACTCTTGTGCAGAATAATAGACTGAACCTGGAATATCTCCAGAGAGAGAATAGGCACTTTTCTCTAATCATTCTAAAACTGTTTCTCAAACTTGTCTATTTTAAGCTGTATAGATTTCAAACCCCATAATTCCCCAGGCAGTATTTTCAATTCAGGGGATTAAAAATCCACACATCTTACAGTAACCGACATTGAGAAAAGCTGTTCTAAGTGAATGGCCTTTTTTTTACTATATGTCATCAGATGCCACTTAAAGGAACTGAGAAATTCAGCATATCCAAATGTCTAGGGAAAAGCAGGAAGGATGGGAATGGAAAAACAGGTAGCAGTATCATTTACAAGATACATTTCAATGATATTCTTTCGTGATTCTCAAATCTATGAAATCAACACAATTGTATTTTATCATGTTGATTTTTCTTATCAACACACTCTGAGTTGTGGGGATAAATTGCCACAGTCAGAAGAATAAATTAAATTTGGTTTGCATGTACTGAATTTAACACTTCTCTGATATTACATCCACATAACTTCAGAAAAACCATCTGTAAACAATAACAACAGTTTTCCCCTAAAATTACCTTCCTGTTCATAAAACAAAAGATATTGTGAAAAATGCAATTCAATTTCCACTGCAGAGAACAGAACTAGAATATTTAGTTGCTGGCTTAAAGATCAATGATCATTGCTAAATTTGCCACTACCTGCCTTAACAGCAATCCAAAATTCATTCTTTTCAGCCACAGTACTTAACAAGCTGTCCTTCGGATTGATAAAGCCTACTATAATGGATTATTAGTTCAAGAATTTCTTACGATCAATCCTCTTCTTGAACATTTAGGTCTTCTCAAGAGAACTCCCAACACATATTTGATGCCCAGTAAAGATGTGACAAGCATCACTAAGCAGTTTGAAAACGAAACTGCAATGTTATTTTTATGAGCATTTTTCAACCTACAGTGCATTTTATAGCCCTCAAACTCCCAAGATTAATCGTTCCACATTTCATCATTGGTATAAAGTACTAACACTCACAGATCTATTGAATATATACATAAAAAGATTTAACTGCAACACAAATATCCAATCTAAATAACAGATATTAGACTAAGGAGTTGAAAGATATCCTCGAAGAAACCAACAACAAACAACTTCTCTGTTGTGATCAAAAATTGTTCATGTAGTCGCCAATCATCACAGCAGATGGCTTTAAGCAACCAGCCAGGCTGATCTTAAAAAGCCTAAGCAGAATCGGTCCAGGTTAGTATTTTGACAGGAGACCACTAGGGTTAAATTTTTAGACTTGGAAATAATAATATTTTTTTTTTTTTAAACCCAGAGAAAGGGAGTGGAAAAATTCTTCTCTCTCGTATTATGTTTGAATTTGCACTGACTATCTGTTAAGGACTACTGCAAAGCACTTTCCTAACTAATTTTTAATGTAATTATTAGATTAGGAACTGAGCTTGACAAAGGAATTTCTATGTTTTATACCAGGGCCTCTGAACCCCAGCAACAGTACCCCAGAAACCGATCCACGCAAACAAGCGAAACCCCATCCACAGGATGCAGGCGTCATGCAAAATCATGCCCCCTCCGGTCCTTGGAAAGAACTCTCTCCATGGAACCAGTCCCTGGTGCCCAAAAGGTTGGGGGCCACTGTTTTATACGACTCTACTGAATTTCCCCATCTATCCCCATTCCCCTGAAAACGGCCCGAAAAACAGCCAGAAAAACGGCATTAAAGCAGCCCAAGAAACGGCCTGAAAAGGGCTCAAAAATGGCCAAAAAACAGGCATGCACACGCCAGCCAGCTGGTTTTTGGGTTTCCGGCATTCTGGCGCACACACATGCTTGCATGTGCATTCCAGTTTGGGCACTTGGTGCCAAAAAGGTTCGCCATCACTGCCCTGTACCATTCCAGGCATATGGCTGCCAGTCTCCTCTTAAAAGAGACCTGTGACAGAGCACCAGTGGTGGGATACGCCCGGTACGCCCTGGTATGGGTGTACCGGTGCCTGCTGGGACCACCAGGTACCGTTCCGGTACAGTGCTCCAGAGGGCCCGTCTGCCCTCCTTACCGGTATTTGAGCCGATCGGGGCTTTCGCGCAAATGCACGGAGCGTACAGAGACTGTGTGATGCTCCGCCAAGCAGCTGGAGCTGTTTCAGAGCCATTGTGGGTGGTAAGTATGCATGCGCATGCTGCACGCTGTGCGCATGCCGCACGCATGCATGTGGTGGATGCACGGCCCCGTTGCACCATACTGGTTGCACCAGGATCCGGAACCCACCACTGTAGAGCAGCCACAATTTTTGAAGGGAAGGTGTTTCAATGGTTGATTGTTCTCACTATCAGGAAATTTCTCCTGAGTTCTAGGTTGCTGTTCTTGGTTACTTTCATTCATTCATCCATTGTTTCTTGTCTTTGGAAAATAAGCTGACCCCCTCTTCTTTGTGGTAGCCTTACTACAAGACAGATACTTCTATCTATTCAGTGTCAAAACAGCAGTAAATTGTCAACAGTTAGGAAAATATTCTACTATGATATTTCATCAGCTTCTCATCAAGATATACGTTGCATCAATTCATCAGAGCCTTAACTTCATTCTTGGATTGTCGAGTCTCTTTTTGTTTTGTTTTTTTTAGCAGCAGTACAAAGAATTGCTTTGATGTTATAAACTTTAATCCTTACAGGTTTTAATTATTCTTGACAATCTTGCTGAACAAAATGTGAATGATGACATAATAGCCTTATTGAGATAACACACTGAAGAGACAGTCTTTTTTCCTAACCATTTTATTTTTATTTTATTTTTTTAATTTGAACCTACATAAGAAGATAAAGGAAAACAAGGGAATGGAAGTTGTACATAAGCAGGAATATGAAACAATGCTGATTAAAGGCAGAAAGCATAATGGAGGGGAAAACTGTTTGAATCTAATCTTGTGGGTTTGTTACTCCATCCGAAGACAGACAATAGTGAAGACTTGCGTCTTCTCCAGTTGCAATAAACAATGGCAAAAGATTATCTAAGCATTTCCTGTTCTCCTTTAAGGCAATTAAACAGATCAAAAACATAGTTTAAACAGCAATATCCTTTTCACCAATCAGAGAGTTTTGATTTACTATACCATTTTCCCTTCCTTAGGAAATATTAATGCAATAGCAGCATTTACACAAAACCCCAAACACAGCAAATCAAACAGACTTCAGGAAACGTAAAGAAGGGACTTTGAATAAGCCAAGCATTCAAAATGGATCTTTTATGAAAATGACTTCATATGAAAAATGAAATAATTTTCACACAAAATGAAAAAAAAAAAAGTGCAACTTACTTTCGGACGGAAGCTACACAAATGCAGCCGGTTCATTTGATGCATCGGGAACGTGGTTCAAACGGTTGGAACGCTAAGCAGGAGGTTAGCAAACTCATGTTTGAGACCCGAGAGCTGCCGTGGGGCAGGGATGAGCTCTCATCCTTCCCTCCAGCTCCTGCCGGAGACATGAAAGGAGCACCCAACTGGACAT